TGCCCGTTTTGCTGTTGCCTCCGACATCAGGTTGGCTTCGGCTGCGGAATCAATGAGAGCACGCAGAGGAACACCATTAACTACCAGACGGAGAATGATAGACTTAGTGCGAGAATGCTCTTCTACGCACCCTGTGGTCTCCTCTTCCATATGAGCAATTAAAATCCTATCCGCCTCTTCGTAGCGTTGAATCTCTTTATCAAAGAGATCAGGTGCCGCAGAAGGTGATTCAATTTGTTCAATTGCTCTGACTGGTAATGGTGCAGCTGGTCGTCCGGCGGGTTTTTGTGTAGGTGCTCCTGCTGGTCTTGCTGAGGTCGTAGCGTTGACGTTGGTGTTGATAGTACGACGTGCAGGGCGCGGTCCAGGGTCGAAAACGCTCAACGGCGGTAGAGTGATGTAGGGTCCCTTGATTGGGCCTTGGCATTGAGGATTGCCGCATTTAGTTCGGCACGCTGAGCAAATTCCGAGGTGTCGTAGGTACTGGTGATAATGCCATGCTGCATCTGCTCGTTCCTCTACCGTTCGTCGATCATTGGACCAGGTCGAAGTCCTTGGCTGATTGTAGGGGCGTGCGTTGCTGGTTTGATTGAACGCTGGAACTTGGTTCGCGGTGACCTTCGGAACCAAGTTGCTGGCAACTAGTAAAGACCAGATGTCCGACGCTGCCGCAATGAATTCGAGCCATTTGAAGCGTTCCACCTTGAGTAATTTACGATCCGTCACCCATCTTTGAAAAACGTCAGGTGCGCCCCATACCACATACTCCGCTAAACCTTTCACCGTGATTGACGACTCTACCTCTATCAAGCTATACAAGTCCCTTGCGCGGTTAGCATAAGTCTTGAAATCTTCTTGAGCCTTCATCTTCAATTGTCTAATTGCTCTCTCAGTGTCGTACAGCCAACCCGTAGGTAATGTCTCCACCGCCATCGCATGCATAATTTCTCTCCATGACATCTCACTCAACTCAGCTTCCATACTTCTCAACCAATTTCCAGCCCGTGGCTCGACAACGATGCTTCCCAAGATCATAAGTCGTTCTTGCACGTCGTCTAGTCGCTTGAGTTTGAAGAACTGCTCAACAAGCCGTCGCCAGTTGAACAAGGCCGCAGGGCTTTCAGCAGGACCGGTGAATTTCGGTGCTTCGGAAAGTTTGATATCCCCTGCGCGGACTGCTTTGTCAGTTGGTGCCGTTGTCAAAGGTTGCACCAAGAATGAAACTCGACGGGCTGTCCCTGGTTGACTTTCTGGGATGAAACCTGTATGAATGGGTATGTTGATTGTGGGAGCAGGGACGGGAGCCGTATGAGCGGGTACATTAACGATTGGAGTCGCCGCGGGTGGATCGTCGATGTCGTCGGAGAGTAAATCCGTCTGTCCACCTGATATGTGTGTCAAGGCTGCGGATCCGCCAGAGTTGTGCACCGAATTTGGTGGTACTTGCATTTGTGGCGTGACTTGTGCGTCGCTCATGAGATTCCGTGGTGCCAGAGGAGTCGGCGTTTCCGCGTTGTTGAAATGAGAATGGTGGTGAGTGTTGCCTGCCGTGACGTTCGAACCCCCGCTACCTTGAGCCGTCGCGTCGTGTGATGCCAATAATTTCGACATTGATGCCTCCAAAGCCATGATACGAGACCGATCAGCTTGAAGTGTTGCTACTTCGGCTTGTAATCTAGCGATCAGTGCGTCCTTGTCTGCGTCTTCCTCCACCTCCGGCGCTTTGCCCTTGCTACCACTTCCTAGATCCATGGTGTTGGTCGGTTGTGGCGTGTAGATGAAACTACCAGGCGGTCTCGGGGTTTCGTCTCCTAGTTTGGAGTTAAAAAATTGTCGTACGATTCTACTGTCAGGGGTGATCAAAGGGTCCGAGGGGTCTGGTAGATTGGTAGCTGGTGTCGAAGTGGCGATTGGTGCTGGTGTTGTGCTAGCGAAAATAGTATAGTTACTCTCGGGGATGTCCGTAGGGGCTTCTGGCCGATAATTATATCGAGGAGGTGTCGGTGCGGCTGGGCTCTCAATTGTGGCTGGTCTTTGGCGTTGGCGTCTAATGATCTCTTCGGGGTCACTAAGGAAATTCGATGGTAAGTCGAATCCCATGAAGCGTCGGTTGTCAGTTGTCGTAGTGGTTCTCACGACAGGTGTCGATCAAACGATGTCGATAGATTCGAAATAAAAAAAGGAAATAAGGAATTGAAATGGAATCGCGTTGGGTTGATTGTGATAAAATAAGTTGATTGAATGTTTTTAGATTAAAAAAGTGTAAGATCCTCGAAAGGATCTTCACTAAGGTTGGCTCTGACGGGAACAAGGTTCCAAAGTTAATCTAAAAACCCAACTATGTATTCCGAAATCCGACAACTAGCTCCATCCGAAGGGTATTCGGTGCAGAAAGGATCTTCATGGAGCTAGGGCGTTTGTGAGTACAAGTAATCCGGCGCCCTCTCTAAGTCCATATGTCTAACCCATAAGTCTACATGTAACACCTTACAGCGTGTAGACCTCATGATGAATATAAGTTGATATAAAATATGTGGAAGGTGGAAGATACAATCAAATATAAGAGATTCAGATGGGATCTTATATGAGGCGATGTGATGTTATCTCCGATTGGGCAATGGCCCGGATGCATCTGGCCAAATATACACGTACGCTATGTACATGTGGCTTACGTCACCCTTCAGATTGATCTGACTGCGCAGCGTACAAGTAATGTTAGTGTACAGTTGAACCAGATAGGTCTGGCACCAGTCTGGCATCAATCGACTATTGTCAGTCCCAGACGCATCTGGAACTCCAGAAACATCTGGAAGAGTTGGCTAACCTAGTGTGATGCACGTGTTATCATCACACTAGGTCTAAATGGGATTTACCAGAGCCATCCGACATCTTTATGTAGGGCAAATAACAAAATACATTCCAGATTCATCTGGAATTGTCAGAAACTTACCAATACATATGACGAATCCTGCCACCCAGACCTAGTATGGTGCACGTGTTATCATCATATTAGGTCTAACTGATCCGAGATGACTCCACTCCAGGTACATCTGGAATTGTCATAACCTACTGTCGTCGGTAGTACCAATACATCTGACAGATTTTGCCACCCAGACCTAGTAGTGCACGTGTTATAATCATACTAGGTCTAGATGGATCAACTGATCCCAGGTTAATCTGGACATAGGTCTGGACAGGTGTATATGATTTTTGCCCCTCTCCACGTAGATTTAATCACTTTGTCTAAAAAGAGGATTCATCCGTATATGTATTCCCATGAATATTGAGGCAAATTCATCTGGACATAACCCCAATACATAATATAGAAACGGGGTTAATTGATCCAATATAATTTCAGATTGTACACGTAGGCCAAAACCATATTTATTGTTTGTACTACATAGTTTGTACTACATAGTTATTTTATAGTGCTCACACTATAAATAACATTCTACAGACACCCGTAAAATAGTTGAGTGTGTTCAAAAAGTGATTGAATTTGGAGTTCAGCATGAGACAATTGGTCCAGTATGTTGGTAAGCCCTGAGACCATTAGTGATTTTTTGTATTTCAGCGTATCTCTGCCAAAATTTATCCAAACATCATGATGCAAAAATGAAAGTTGCTCTAACAGGTATTTCAGATAGAGTGTAATTTGACACTGAACCCATATCTCTAAGTTTCAAGCGTCACACACATGATTTAGTGATGCTGCGGGGTGGTACAAGTGCCACAAACATATCATATCTTGTTCAATATTCATCCAAACATCATGATGCAAAAATGAAAGTTGCTCTAACAGGTATTTCAGATAGAGTGTAATTTGACAATGAACCCATATCTCTTGTCACTACAAGAAAGATAATATTTTCTGGGCAGAAAATTAAATTATTGATACACAAAAATATTGAGAGGCCAGGAGGAGAGCAAAAGATGAATAAAAATATGCATCTTGTTCCCTGCGTTGAGAGCTTCACTCTGCATATTTTTCCGTATTTTTACAGTGCATATTGATAAGTGTACTAACAATAAACCTTCACAATCATCCAATTACAACCTGTAACAAGCACTGAAATTTGGCTCATTAGTGTTTAGAGAAACTTTTGATTTCTGAAAATACTCATAACTTTTTCAATTCCGGTCCAAAACGCTCGATTTTGGGTGCATTGGTAAGCTGGAATTGTCCTCCAAATAGTTCATAACAGGACCACACAGCATGCTGGTCTGCTAGAAAAGATATCATCTTTTTTATACATTTGTACATACAGATCTATGGAATG